TCCAGAAGAGCCGCCAGCGCCACCCCAGCCAGAAATGCAAGCTCGAAACGACGTCGAAGTCGACGATTCTTCGATCTAGGTGACAAAAACACGTCGATTTCGCGTCGATCGATGAAATCGACCAAATTTCGACGATGCATTTCTGGCTGGGCACTGGCGGCTCTTCTGGAACCACGAATGTGCCGCTCAGTCAGAGCCGACACCGTATTAACTACATCGTGCTACGACCTGTCGTTAATAGTTGGGAGGAAGGTGGGGGGAGTAATGACACACTCTGGGTGTTGTTGCACGGAGCCGTCGACACACTCTCAAATTTGTTTCTCCAACGGCAAAACTTCATTAAACATCGAGACCTGATGCAAATTCATCTTAAGAAATGGACAAACTACTTTAAAAAGGTTATCCTTCAGATACTTATCGACACACTCACCCTGTTTTAGTTTTTTATACTCCTCTCTAAGTATTCCTGCTGATTTAAAACTTCTATGAGCTACTGACAAAGTTTTCATTAATAATACGGAGTAATTCCTTTTCACACCATTGACAACTACTTCTGTTATCATAAGTTACTTCCATAAATACAGAATACCGAATGAGTAACAAATAAGTCAGTAATTTCAGCTGAATTCAAAGAGCTAGGCACCCACTGAGAAATAAAACAGCGCAGGTCTAATAAAGCGTTTTTTTCCTATATTGCCAAGGCTCTTCGTACTGCGTCCCGTCAAGGGTTTGCGTTACTCTTTCTTTTGTCGGCAGAACTTGGGCTTCGGCACTGTAGAGAAGGTGTTCCTGCACTTTACCGAGCCTTGGTGGCCATCCGACGTGGCGGGCTACGAGCCCCTGGTGAGGGAAGAGGACCGGGAGACGTTCAAACGGGAGCACCCCGAGTTCGCCGCTCACGGCGAGTGGGCGCACGCCCTGTCCGCCTTCTACGTGGACCAACACGCGCCTCGCAGCGCCGTCCTCTCAACATGGATCACCGGCGAGCCAGCCCGCCTCATGGAGAGTTACACTGACTCCGAGCTCATGATGGGCTGTGTCAAGTGGCTGCAGATGTTCGTTGGCCAGAACCTGACCATACCGCAACCGGCTGGCTTCAGGCGCTCCAGCTGGTGGAGCAACCCCCACTTTAAGGGCTCCTTCAGCTACATCTCGCTCGACTCGGACCGCGCTGACGTGAGGGCGGCGCACCTGGCAGAACCCATCCTGGACGCTCATGACCAGCTGGTGCGATTTGCTGTTTTTTTTGTTTGATTTTTATTATTTTTTTTATTCTCGATGGCCAATGGTTTATTGAAATGATGCGACGACATCTTGCTCATCTTTGACCTATCGGTTTTACAGGCCATACTTTTTGCTGGAGAGGCGACACATGGTCGGCACTACACTTCTGTGCACGGTGCGATCGAGAGCGGGCAGAGGGAAGCGGACCGCATCTTGAAGGAGTACAAGAAGAAGTAATGAACTATGTAAATATCCGTTCTCCGCGAATATTCGTACTTTGGATCCAATGTGAAGGGCCATAGTAGGGTATTTCGCTGCAACCCTTCGGGAACCTGAGAAGTAAAGCACGACTGCTGGTTCTTATCGTGTGGACCAATCAGCGTTCAGGAGAAACTGAATAGGGCAGTTTATTTTTCTACTCTAGGATCCGATTTTCTTTCATGAAAATCACCAGCAGTCGAACAACCTCTACTCTGTCCCGTAAGACTGAGTGTTCCTGTGCAAATCCAGGCTGGATTCAAATACGTACCTCAAACATGTAAACAGGGGCCCTACCCATATTGTGTGACCGATTATTGCAATTATTGACCCTACCTTTCCTACCTCCTGATTTGCCTAGTGCATAAATGACCCCTATCAATGCAATGATATTAAATACGATTAATTTGCTAGGTGAGTCACTCGTCCCTCCCCCTTTAATCACCTCTTGACCAATGGTAGTAGCACTTTGTCGGCCCCATTCCTTCACCCAGAAAATGGTAACCGTGAAACAAGACCACATGCGCTGCTTCAACGCAATTTTTTACCTCAAAAAAATACAAAGAAAAATGTCTTTGACCTAAGGGAAACTACGTTACAAGAACGTAAAATTTTAACTACCTTACCTTCAGAGCAGTACTAATGGAGAGGGTGCTGTGCCGCCCGAGACCCCCACCCCGCCGCACCGTCCACGGTTCGGTGGCGATTGTGTTTTGTGGCGATCGCGCCCATAGGTCCGCCTCGGGGACGGGGACGTGGACTGTTCGCCGAGGAGGGGGTCCCGGGCGGCATAGCACCCTCTCCATTAGTACTGCTCTGAAGGTGCGGCGGGGCGGGGGTTGGGTCTATAACGTTTGTACGACCCGCGTTTCTACGACCTGGTGATTCCAAACCGACCTCAAACCATTTGTCCGACCTACATTTTTGTACTACCTACATTTTCTAACACGGAAAAAAAAGTTTGCTGCTCCAGCTTAACATTAGGTATGCGAGCCAAAAGTTAGCTGCCTGGAGGACAGACAAGAAAATTAGGAACAGTAGCTTATGAATTCGGTGCGTGAGCTAATCTGTGACTATCGCAGATAAAGCGTTCCCTGCAGTGGCCCAACTACATTAGTTGTACGAGCGAATGGTATTTTGCATTCGTAGTAGTGACAAAATTTTGTTTGCTGCTGGACAACTGTTTATTCGGCGTAACTGTTGACCCAGTTTTTGGCACTACTCAAGATTTAAAATTGTTACCTGCAAAACAGGCCAAGTCATAAATCTAATTGGTGGACGGGTTTCTTTCAAACTAATAACAGCTGACTTCAGCTGAGTTTAGCGGAAATTGCTTCGCATACGGAAATTTCATGAAAAAATTTCGTTCTTTAGTCCTTTCTAAAATCATTTGCAGTGGGAGAATTCCGAGGATAAGAGAATAACGGTTTTAGGATCTGTTATGATTTATTTACAGAACACAAAAACACCTTTCGATTTCTCGGATAAAAAAATGCGATCTTAGGATACTGTCGCACGCTATGGTGCAAAGTTCAAAGCAAATAGTAGTTCGGTTACGGTCCTTGTTGGATGAATGACATTGGTCATGAGTCATTATAGGTTGCTTGTTTCTTGAAGTAAAGTTCAGATATCAATTGTGTGGTTCTACTGGCCGGAACTCATTTTCATTAGATGACGCACACACCACCTGCTGCATTTCTTGTATTCCGTTGTTTCAGTCCGTCTTTAGATCTGTGAATACATTCAAAACGTCAGTAAATTAGGAGATGCACAGAAAACCCAACAGTGTGCTGAGTACACAAAAGGAATTGTGCATCTGATAGATAAACACATTTTATAAACACACCGACAGCCGTCCAACAACATTCTGCTGGAGGACTGCTCAGGACGACTATCATATCTCTTTACATAAACCGATTCTGAACTCAGTTATCTACAGTTGTAACCTAGTTCCACGCCAATTAACTCGCTTAACTTTGTAGTCACTCTGTTTTGCACAGAATAACCTGCTTGTTAAAGACACTCTTTTTCACTTCTTTTTAACCAAAGACACAACTCCTAGTGTGTTTCATTTTTGTCAGGCAAGTAACAAGTCCAGCAGATAGCAGAACGTGGCTGGCCTTCACCCTTCTGTGCCGGTGGAGGACTTTAGCCTCCATTATGAAAATATCAATGCATGTGGAGAGATCTAGCAGCAAAATTCTTATTATAACCAATGTAACACAGTGTTAAGGACAAGCAGTGCAATTTAGTGCACTTAAATTGTGGTACAGACTACAGCACTCGACTACAGTTGGATTTGCACACCTAAGTGCACCTTAAGATGCAAATTTGAATGCACATTAACCACTGCAAGAGTGCAGAGTCTACTTGATGTAACGACTATAAGTGACACTGTAGTGCCTGAGTATACTCTTTAACTCAACATAAACAACGCTCTTGAACAATAGATTGATCTGCAGAACGAAAGTATATTGCGACAGTAAACACAGCACAACTACCATTTCAAACATAGTTCGTAACACAGTTTGCGATGCACTCGGGCTCGGGCTTGCAGTTCTAATCGCATTAATTCATTGTTTAAGTAATCTTTTGATTGCAGTCTTTAAGTATACTTCGACCACTTCCGTTGCAACTTCAGTCAATGTATAGATCCTTCAACCCGGGATGGCTGACATGGATCACATCTCCCCTCCCCTCTATAGTATACATCTATCTTTTTTCCGGTATTACTTACGTTCCGAAGTAAATCATAGGATCTTCTGAATCGTCTGTCAAGCTCTTCTCAAAACTTTTCGACACGATGTTCAGCCGTTTGGAAATATTCATACAAGTGCTCTCATTCATATTTGCAAGGAGATTATTTTTCTTGTCCCAAAAGAAAGGCAGTTTGCAAGCGTTAGTAAGCTCCTTTAGTTGTTTCAAGCCCTTCAATAGATAAAAATACCAATGTAAAATAACGTTCTTTTCAAATAGTACATATTGTACGCATAAAATAAGCTCATTAGATTTTAACTTGTTGTTACCGGTTATTTATATGAGATCAGATACCGTAACGGAACTTGACGTTGACAACTTTTTATACTTAAATCATTTGTGCCATTTATATCCCAGTTAAGTTATATGTGGGACAAATGATTAACTATGAAAAGTTGTCGTTCCTTCACAAAACCCAAAGTCTTCTGAACAAGTTCAGTTTTGCTTTGTTTATGGAGAAACCCATCTGCGTAATAACTATGCAGATTACATGACCTGTCTTCATTGAACCGGAAACAACATGTTTTTAACTTTTAGCTGGACTTTGAATGGACTTAACAAACCCTCATGAGAAGTACGCCGATGCTACGCTTAAAGTATGACCGTCCCTCAGATTTCATGTCCTCGACGATCAGCATTGCGGACGTTTTGATGTAGTAGCTAGCTAGGCCAGTCCAGTTTTGCTCGTCACGGAGTTTCTAGAAACAAACTAAGGTATGATGAATCGGATCAGGCTTGAACTTCTTGTTATCACCAGTATTGAATTGAATTCTACAGAACGTCGAGTTATTTTCCACAAATACTCACTTTAAGGAGACGGACTAGTGGTTTGAAGTGCTCCAAACCTGATATATAATCCCTTTCGTGGTCCCATAACGAAGCACGCCATACCTTGGCAGCTGATTCTGGAGGACCCTTTGGAATGACATACCATTCTCTCTTTTTCCGGGAAATTTCCTGAAACACAGGGGATTGCGCGGTGTGATAACTCGTACGCGTAGGGGAGAGTGGGGCACACTGGTCCATTTTTTTTTCTTTTTGCTCCCATTGCTGGATGTGACTAACTAAAAATGATTTTTCTTCGCCAAGTTTTACTTTAGTCCTTACTTCACCCCACAAAACCGGCTACAACACTTTTCAGTTAGTACAGACTGAGAGAAAACCCACAGAGGCCTGCTCGTGGACCAATGTGCCCTGACCCCGGGGCATATCGGGCCGAAATGCACGGGGCACATTGGGCCAAGCTGGAAAAGGTTGGCGTAATTAACCTCCGGGGTATCCCGAACACCAGTATTCGGTGTGTAAGTGTTGTTTTCAGAAAAAAAAAAACACCAATTGGAATTAAAATTTTGAAAATTATACAATAAGTATTTCCCTTGGCGGCTCAAACTGCCCCAAGTGTAGCAAATTCAATTATGGCTCTAAAATGAAGTTTGATAGTCTAAACTCAATGGGCAGTTGGTGCAATCTGCACCTTAGACAATAGACTTTCCTATGAAACTCAGATCGCAACCGAAAATGTATGTTACATAGCTCGAAATGAGTTGATTATGGAGTAAATACATTCTTTTGCCTTATTTTGGGAATGAAAAAAAAAAAAGTTCAACCCCTGGCCAGTGTGATGGTGTGCAGCGCACTTCACCAAACCTTTCAGAAATTCAGTCAGGGTGGTAATAGCTTCTTCTAGAGTTTGAGAAATCTCACTGCAATTGCTCTACTTCAGTGAATTGCTAGTGGACCAAAGTGTCCCATGGCCCAGTGTGCCCCACTGTCCCCTACACAGGATTGCAGATGCATCTGAAACATGTGGCGCCTCCTGGCTGCTGTTACTTGCCTTTACACGTTTTCGCATTTCTTTTGTGAGAACATCTTCCTGGAACGAAAGAGCCGGTACAAAGTCGACGGAGAGGTATTCACCGGCTTTGGTACAAACGTCAAACGTGATGGCTGGGCCAGCCCGTCTTCGGCTTATACTCTGAAAGATAAAAAACAACAGGGCAGCCATTAGGACTCGCATCAGAGGAAGTGTAGAAACGGAACTTAATTGTGTCGCAATAAACTGTAATAATTACCTTTATAACAGCCCAGAGTTCTAGATCCTTGTTGTTTTTCAATTTTACGAGGGTACGGTCTGCAGCACTCTGCATCCAGCGCAACACATTTTCACGACTCAGGTTTTTGCCGTTCCACAATTTTATCAGTGTTCTGCAAATGAAATCGACAGTTAGTAAACCTAAAAACATTCTCCCCTTTGGCACTGTTAATAAAGCATTCCGATAAAGCTGAAATGCAGAACATAAAATACCCCAGCGAGCAATGCTCAATTAATTTACATTAATTTGACGTCATTTTGATGTCAGTTTACGTTATTTTGATGTAATTTTGATTGATGATTGCTGGCTGGGTACATCACAGTTAAGCCCCTAGTTTCAAACATATTGTATCACGTTATTTTTAAGAGTCAAAACGATACAGGTAATACTTCAAAACGATACTAGGTAATAATTGGGTAGGAAAGTTCTACTAGGTAGATGCTTACCACGTCTCGCGTAACAGGCTTCGCGATATCTCACGAAACATTGTTACGCTGCGACGCGCCTAGCATACATCTACCTAGGCCTGCGGCGCTAGCAGACACCCGAGTCGGCATTGAAAGGGCGTGAACATGGACACCAAATGCCCTACCAAAGACATTGTTTACAGAAATCTTAGTAAAGACATGGAAAAGTAAGTGCGGCAAGACATTCCATAGACTAACTCAGGCTCAGGACTAGACTGTTTCAAGACATAACAACTAAGTCCATGCACACAGACATACAGAAGACATATATAAACCAGACAAAGAGGCATCACCAGCCCTGAAGACATGCCGAAGACATTTCAAAGACTGTGTCGACGGACATCAGGACATAAATGTCCCATACTAGACACAAAAAAGACACAATGACATTATACAGGCCGAATGAAGACATATTAAATCATGTCCTTCACATGTCAATCGCCTCATCAGGGTATGAGTCGGGTCGTGACGAGTTTAGTTTAGAAGTTTGATACAAGCTGTTTAAAATAAACGATCGTTTAATTTGAATTCGTAGTTTGGTGGTATCTGGTTGGTATCACGGCACTAGAAGGGAAAAAACTAGAAGAAAATTATACGTGCGTAAGACAAATTTTGGTTGCCCTGATCACTTTTGATTTAGTCCTGTTGAGAAAGGTGTGATCGACCTGATCATATTTTATTTAAAATTCTTGATCAAATATTAGGTTGGCTTGAGGGAGTAAATATTCATTGATTCAACACTTTTTTGGTAACTAAGACAAAATGATTATCTCAGTGTGAGATCACCAGCCTCCTTGATGTAGACTCCAGCCTATCACGCTTTTGCAAGGTGGCGTGCTTTCCAGGCACATGGGGGGGGGGGGGGGTCATCCAAGCCGTGCGCAGCAGGGAGAAGAATACCTGAACTTACTCGTCCTCCTGCTAGGCCAGGTGTAAAATTTTAATTCTCTATTTTCATTCTACTTTGAGAAAATGTTGGTCTACATGTGTCATCGAAGGACACATCAAAACTTTTTGTTCAAATTCATATTTAGGGGTTATTGTAGACATTCGTTTCAAAAGCCGCTATTTCAGCTATTTTTTAAAGCTTTCAACATTACTCTCTTCCAGGTATCTCGTTAAATTTAGGTTTTTTGAAGAAACTTTACTATCTGAAGCAGTGTTTGCGGCATTGCCACGTTTAGGATGGGAAATGTACGAGAATCACTAGGGCTTCAAAGGAGCGGTTGTAAAATGGAGTCCCACAAAATATGCTATAAAAGAAAAGATTTAAGAGCATACATTTTCTACAGCTTAAATTTGAGCAAAAAAAAAAAATTAATGTGTTCTTCAATGACACATCATTTAGACCAACAATTTCCTAAAGTGGAATGAAAATCGGGATTTACACTTGGCAGGGTTGTCAGTCCCCAAAATATTTTGAAATTTGGAAGGGGGATCTAGGAGGAGGAACATCCAGTCCATGACACATTCCGCAACGCTATAGGAATCATAATCCTTGTTATTTACTGCTTACTTTCGTATGTCGTTGATCTTGAAACTCTCGCCTTTCTGCTTAATATAGTTTGTAAACCACGTTTCTCCAAAGTAATCAGTAGCTGATTTAAGAAGCGTTAATGTCAAATGGCCCGCTGCCTCATCTTCTCGGACCTGAAATCATAATCATGAAATATAGCAATATTGGAAGGCGTCTAACAAGTGTCGAGGGTATAAATGAGGTATTCCAGCGGTTAGAAGAACAAGAAGAAATTCCAATATGGCCGCCGCAGAACATAACAAACCATCAACTGTTTTCTCGAAGCGGCTGCTAGCAGCCTCTCGCGCTCATCGTTACATTGCGTCTATTTGAGTCAAATTTGGTATCATTTTGATCGGAAGAAAGAGGGGAACACATAAAATAATATTCCGATTCAAGCAATACCAAATTTGACTCCAACAGACGCGATATAACATTAGGTAGGTTATTGGGGCTCCCGAGCGCGAGCGGCTGCTCGGGAAAACAGTTGATGGTTTGTTATGTTCTGCGGCGGCCATATTGGAATTTCTTCTTGTTCTTCTAACCGCTGGAATACCTCATTCAACTCAGTTTATTGCAAATTTTAAGTGTTCTTGTAGTGTAAATTAATCCAATCGCCTCATTCCCATACCAATTCCAAATAAACATAAAAGCTACACAACTTAAAGTTCTTACCTGGATATCTCCCTTATTTTCAAGAGGCAAGTTCAGAACCGCATTCATGTCAAACTCGTTCGGCGAGCTGATTCGCAGTCCTTCAAATGAACTACCAGTTGGATGGACTCTGCTAAAGGTCAATTTAAAAAGTGGTTCTTCTGTTCTTAAGACCCCTACTAAATCTTTCTCAAACGCCTGGCGCACAAAAAAAAAAAAAGATTTATCAGATCAATATAGATTTAGTCAGTTAAAATCAATGCGTTCATAATGAACAATAAAGCGTATCAAATATCTTTGCCCTCTTCTAAGAACCCATGAGCACTTTGGTCAATTTTAATATAATTTCGTTAAAGTTACCCCTGATTGACAGCTCTTCTTATTTACAATAGAATAGCTTCTATGCATGCAAATAATTTGAATTTAATCAAATACCTTATACGCCCTCATAAATCGTTTCCTTTCGTCATCTACGATATCGATCTTCGCCAGAAGCTTCTGGAGCCACGGATCAAATTTGGTGTAGTCACTTCGAGCAGGTAAGCGAACCCTGATACAAAAGTGTATTTACAAAGTGTCATTACGAAGTCTGATGTCAGGTGACAACTATTTTTAAAAGTTGCTTCAGCAAACGCCCCCCTTTCATAGTCCATTCAACGAAGATTTCGATACCTACAACGCAAAGACAACGTACTTCTACGCCCCGAGAGAAGACTGACGTAGTTCCGAGCACCGATTTTGAACACACGTAGTTCTGAGGCCTTCGGCAAGACTCACGTAGTTCCTATCTTTTTAACCAAGAAGTACGTGAGTCTTGCCGAAGGCCTCAGAACTATACGTGTGTTCAAAATCGGTGCTCGGAACTACGTCAGTCTTCTCTCGGGGCGTAGAAGTACGTGTCTTTGCGTTGTAGGTATCGATTTGATTTTAACCCAAAACAAATTGAACCAAAACGTTTTTTTTGCAGGATCCAGTAGAACGGCTCCGTATGAACACCCTAAATTAAAGTCTGCCGTGAAATTCGATCGGGAACCCCTTTGTTTAGAACGCGAAGGGCGTAAGTGCAGTTTTCCGGTTTTCTGACTACGTAACGTCGGTTGTTTTGGGCTTAGAGAGCTGGGACAAGGCTTGAAATGTTCGGGAGAGACTACTGAACAAAATGTTAACCCGCCCTTATTGATAAATTTTCGAACAGCTACACTGTTAACGTTTTTTAAAATGTCTGAAAAAAGTTGTGTAATTTTTTATTTTTTTTTTGCTGTGATCCCGCAAGGAATTTGGAAAATGGTTCGACTAAATGTTGTAGCCTGGTCTTTCATTCAAAAACCCAGTTTTGCGAGTTACGACTGTTTAGAGTGCTGCAGTTAAGGTTATCAAACTCGTCAAATAAAAATTTCACTCCCCTTACCCCCTATCCGAAGGTACCCCTCAACCAGGGTTGTTTACGATACAAAAAAAAAAAGGAATCGCGATGCATCACTGAAAATGCCAGAGCCAGATATCTTACTCTCAGGAGATCAGTGACACAAAAAACTGGCCTGCAGGCCGGTAACGAGACAGTCCTGCTCGAAAATCAAATTCAAAATTCAGACGCTCAGGCTTGTGTCTTTAAATTCAATAAGCCTTAAAAATAGGACTGAAAATCTGCTAATCAAAACTGGAACTTTAATCGGCAACGGCAACCTTTATAAAGACGGGATACTTTCACCTTACCCAAGAGCGTTTTTTCATGATTCAGAAAGCTGTGGTTAAAACCAAAGACATCAAAAATCAGCAAATTATGGTGGAATCATGACATAACTGCACTTAACGCCCTTCGTCGAGGGGTCTCCGACTCGCCTGAGCCGTGTACTGAGTATTATATATTATGGATATTATGGGTATTATGGGTATTATGGATATTATAGTA